CACTTTGATGCTGACCAATTGCACTCGGACGTGGCAAAAGATGGGGTGTATCAGCAGCGGTCACATAGATTATTTTGTATCTTTATTTATTGTATTGACTGCATTCCTCTCTCTGCCCTTTTGGGGGCACTATGTGCAAGCACCCTCTTAATTGTTTGATGCTTAGCATCTTCTCCTACCTGCCTGTGTGGGGGCTGTACGCTTCTTTGCCCTGTCCCCTGGTGGCTACTCAGGGTCTTGTCTGCCCAGAGGCCTTTTTAAAACAGCTCAGGGTTTCCTTTTCCCATTCAGCATTATTAAGCTGCTGGCTTTTCGCACCTTCCCTGAACTTCTGCTTATAAGGATTCTACTCCCCCTGTATATATTTTAGCTTTAGTATGCCTGCTAGTGGCCGACCAGTGCCTCATGCCATCGAAACGTAATCCCAGCCTTGCTTTTCCCACGTTGAGGATCGGGCCTAACCAATTGGGACTCATCCATTGCCAACGCAGGGCTCTGCCATTCAAACTGACTTTGTCATAGCTCCTGTTAATCTAAATGGCAACCTTGCACCCATTGGCTTAGCTGAAGCAATAACTCCTCTCTGGTTGCGCACAGTATTTTCCTTGGGGTTATTAATGCAAGGAAAAGGGCTGTGATGATGGCTTATTCTTGTGTTTGATACGTGCTCCAGTACATGAAAGTAATGGCAAGATGTTTCTAGCAACAATGTGTATATGTGTTATATTTACATTTACATACCATGCATTGGGGTTGGGATTAATTTTTGATATTGCTAATTTTTTGTTAGGTTCCTAACACGTTCCAAGAAAATAATCTCATTTCTCATAAAAAAATAGCATTATCAAAAATTAATCCCAACCCCAATAAGATCCATCAGCTGATGCAACATGAACTTTTAACCCTTCATCTTAAATTTTTTGCTGTCTAAATTCATCAGGGTTGACTTCCCATCTTGTTGATGTTCTTTACCACATTCCTGTCTTTGTACAGCTTCATAAAAGGATGCATGAATTATATTTAGGTGAATCTTCAACTTTATCACACCCACTTCCAGAATCAGTGAAAGAAAGAACTATTCTGTCCAGCACATTTTCTTCTGGACTTAAGGCAGAAGCGTTAGATGATCCAATAGTGCTATATATTTGGGTCCTGGAAGACAGCAGTAACTCCTCTTCTTGGTTTACATCATGAAATACACAGAGGACCATTTCCTTCATCCTTGAAGAACTTGGAAGATGATAACTCGGGCTTAGTATTTTGGGGTCTGGTGTATCATTACAATTTGGGGAGACAAAATCTTGACTAGGTGAGGGTCCTGTTATGCTTTCTGTGAATTCCTCAACAGAAAATGTTGAAGAAACTGAAAACATTTCTAAATACTTCTTGGGTGAGTCTTCCTTAGATGAACAATCTAGAACAGTATGAGTATTATGAAGGGTCCGTTTAGGATGGGGATACTCAACTGGAATTTTTCTATGCTTTGGCAGATAGCTTGGCAGCATCTCCCTCTGAACATTTGACTCTGGGAATCTAAGGCCTAGACTTTCACAAAGGGAGGTTTCAGAGATAAAAACTTCATCAGAAAGACATTCTAGAGTAGAAAGTCCAAGGTGATCAGGAGGAAGGAGAGCCGTTCATATCATTGCTTGGTGAGAGGGGAGCCAAACAAGATATCTCCTCCATGTTGATTCTTCGAAACCTGGGGAGTTTACAGCAAGACAAGGCCCTTGATGAAGGTCTTACGGCTACATCGAATAGGTGTGATAGAAATCTCTTCTTTCTTCAAAGGAAGGTTGGTAGGGGTCAAAATCTCTTTTCCAAAAACAGAAGCCTGCTGATGGAGCAAGGAATTCGACCAGCACAGCAACAAGCTCTAGCAGAGAGAGTCGGCCTGAGTTGTTCCTTGACAATAGGGGTTGAATAGCAGATTGGAATGGGAGTTGTTATTACATTCTGATGTGACTTTTTAGGTCTCAGCTGGGAAGAAGTATTGTTGGAGCTGTGAGCTGCTTTCCAGGGCTGTGCGACACCTGATTTGGGAGTTTTTGAAGGGTCAGATTTGGTTGGAGCCTCCTGGCCCATCTGAGGGTTTTTCTTACCATGTGGCTCATCATCTTGCTGGCAAACAGTACAGAGCAAAATATTGTTCTATTTTTTCTTTCTCTGGCTAGCATGAGACACCATGAAATTTTCTTTTACCNTGCTGGCTGGGGAATTCTGGGAGTTGAAGTCCGGACGTCTTCAAATTGCCAAGGTTGAGAAACACTGTGCTAGACAGAATAGCAGCACTCGTCTCTCAGAGCGCATGCCCCAAGGGGTGAAGAGCGTTCCGAAATGTCGCCGCGCATGCGCCGCTCAGACGATCGCTCCGGGGGGGAAACGGACCGCGTCACGGCTTCTCCTGCGACGGACTCGACCGAAACAAGGTCGGTAAAAGGGGAAAGCAGGCCACCGGCGGCGAAAAAGGAACGACGCCTGGAAAACCGCGGGCCTATCAAACGTACTTTCCCCACGTGGGGGGGTGGAGGGGGGTGGTTTTAACCTAAGGCGGTATCTTTCCCTTCGATTGCTTCCCGGGGCCAGCCAATCCGCGTTGGGATCATCCAAATGAGCGAGGCAGCTCCTGCCCCCATTGGCCAGCCCTCGATCGCCGCCGACCAATCAGAGGGAGCTGCGCAGGGTTCTCGCGCTGAGGCGGTTGGAAAAGGCCGTTTCCCTGGCGCCCTTCCCCCACCCGACTTCTTCTCCTCCTGCCGCGCCGCCGCCGCCGACGGTTGGGCAGACTCGCGGCTCTTTGCCCGCCCTTTTCGGGTTTGGTTCTGCCGTTGGGGCCGGAGTTGAATTACCATGAGCGAGGGCGGTGAGGACTGGGCCCCGCCGTCCCCTAAGCAGCGGCGCTTAGACCCGGTTTGTCAACTGCAGAAGGAGACGGAGGCAGCCCAAGCGCTGGCCGAAATGACGGCTTGGGGCGGCGGGAGCTTTGAAACCCTCAACCAGCAGGGGGCGCACGGAAGCTCCTCCGCCAAACCGAGGAGCCTGGAAACGGCCGGCCAACAGGGGGCGCGCGAAACCACGGGCCCCGCGGCCGGGGAGCGGAACGCTTCGGCGGGGCAGAGTTTGGTGGCTCGGCACGGCCGGGCGAAGGGCGACGGGGAGGCGTCCTCCGACGAGGACCAAGGAAGCGCAGCGGGGGGCGTGGAGCCCGCCAGGGCGAAGCGGAGGAACGCGGAAGCCGCCGCCGCCGTCGGGGCGAGCGACGACTACGAGGATGGCCGGGAGGCCAAGAGGAAGAGGAAGGACGCCAAGGAGAGGCGCAGGGCGGCCGAGGTAGCAGCCGAAGCAGCGGAGGACGAGTGCTCCGTCATTTCGGTGGGGGAGGAAGAGGAGGACGACGAGGAGGAGGAGGAGGAGGAAGAAGAGGAGGAAGAGGGGGGGAAACGGCAACCCGCTCGCAAAACCGAGCAGTACTTGGAAGCCCTGGAGGCTGTGCAGCTGGAACTGGAAGCCGTCAACCAGCAGGCCAACCGTGCCTTTGCCCAGCTCAAAGCCAAGTTCAGTCACATGCGGCGGCCACATCTGGAGCGACGCAACGTCATCATCCAAAACATCCCCGGTTTCTGGGTCACCGCTGTATCCTGTCCTTGCTACTAGGTGTTGGGAAAGGGTTGCTAGAAATGGGAGGAAAATATAGCAGTTAGTTAGCAGTTAGACTTATATACCGCTTCCTAGGGTTTTCAGCCCTCTCTAAGCGGTTTACAGAGTCAGCATGTCGCCCCCACAGTCTGGGTCCTCGTTTTACCCACCTCGGAAGGATGGAATAGCAATAGCAATAGCAGTTAGACTTATATACCGCTTCCTAGGGTTTTCAGCCCTCTCTAAGCGGTTTACAGAGTCAGCATGTCGCCCCCACAGTCTGGGTCCTCGTTTTACCCACCTCGGAAGGATGGAATAGCAAGAGCAATAGCAGTTAGACTTATATACCGCTTCCTAGGGTTTTCAGCCCTCTCTAAGCGGTTTACAGAGTCAGCATGTCGCCCCCAACAATCCAGGTCCTCATTTTACCCACCTCGGAAGGATGGAATAGCAATAGCAATAGCAGTTAGACTTATATACCGCTTCATAGGGTTTTCAGCCCTCTCTAAGCGGTTTACAGAGTCAGCAT